GGCACCATGTTTTTGATGTGTGGCTGAAACAGCCCTGATACAGCACCCAAGCCTTGGCTGTGCATTTCCCCCTGCTCCCACTCTGTCTCCATCATCCCTGCCTCACCCACCAGCAAGCAGGCTTGGGGTGGGCAGCAGACTGGGAGGGGACACAGGTGTGACAGATGCCCTAAACTGGCCAAAGGAGTACTCCATACCATAGAACAATGCCCTGCAATAAAAGCTGCAGTACTGGGAGCAGAAAGAGACAATGGGGGCTGCTCAGAGATTGTCTGGGGATCTGTCAGCTTCTAAGAGATCACTTGCTTCCCATCACCACCTTTCCTTTACCTATTCCACTGTCTATCTTGACCCACAAAGCTTTTCCATGTTCCAGAATAGATAGATGAATAGGGAAAAGGTGAGCTGGAATGATGGCTATTTTGTAAGATTCATTTTGTGACTTTTAATCAACTGGCACCTACATTGCAAATTATCTTCTGGAAGTCACTTTGGTGAGCCTGTCATCAGTTAAAAGGCACTTTCCACCTCAGTTGCTCTGGTTGCCTGTTCCAAATTTTGTTCTACCTCTTGCACTAATGCCAGCACAAGCTTTTGCAGGGCTGTGCAATGACCTGGATCAGGAAAACAGGCCTAAAATATGCTAGCTTTACAAGTTGATCTTATCCTTCTTGGCTGCACTACTACTGTTCCTCTCCCTCTCTCAAATTTCAGGCAGACAGATTGTCAAAAGGGGAGTAACTAACTTGGAGTCACTTTAGGATTTTTTACTGTGACTTTCCCTATATCCTAAATACTGTCCCTGTGACTTGGTGTATACCTTGGAAAAAATAAATATACTGTATCAAAAATGGCACTTCTATGACCAGTTCAAACAAAGCACAACCTCAGGACACTTGAGTTTTCAAAAACAGTTCTTCTTGTTGTGTTATCTTAGAACTGTTTTAATGTCAACAAGAAGATATAATATTTCCAAGGACTTTACATGCAACTGCATCTGTTGTGGTTTTTATGAATTAATAAAGCTTTATTAACCTGGAATGATCTTAACTTAATCAGATCACTTTTAATCATAGTATATGCAAGAGATTACTTTTTTACATTGTATATGTATATGCAAATGGATACTTTTAAACTTTTTTACATCTTGCAATGAACATAATCCATTTACTACTTTAACAAAAACTAGTTCACTCGAGTTTTAATTACATGACCATCATTTAGCTCTTTGCTGGTATTTATACCTTTGAAAGTCTTGAATGACATCCATATTACAGCATTAGAAAAAACTTCATCCTAAACAGAACTGCTGGGTTCACCAACACATTTAATTAGTGTATTCATACAATATTTAAATATTCAATGGCAGACAGCAAGCTTCTCAGTGGAAAACAGATGGTGAGCAGGTACTCTGTGCTGCTGCACTGCTAAGGAGACACATAATACTTACAGTGAAGAATGATGTACCACAGAAACGGGCACACATGCCTCGAACAAAGCCTTCATGGGCTTGTATAGTGCGGATACACTGTCGTTTGGTCAAGTTCCAAATTTTAACCTGATAAAAACAAAAGAGCAAATAGTCTGTAAGCTTTCTACAGCCCACAGCTGCAGCTCACAATTCAAGCACAAGAGATCACACATGTTATAATGAAATGGCAGAGCTGGCTTGGACACCAGTCATATTTCTTTCTTGAAAAGTAATTTTAAAAGTGAGATTTTTTTCATTCCCACCCTCCCCCCCGACCTAAGCTGTATACTTTCTGCATTTTGCACTCCCCTATTTTTGAACTAGAATTCTTGCTAAAAAACCAGCAGCAGTTATAAATTTAGCAAAGTAATACCCCTTTAAAGACAAAAGCACAAAGAAATTTGGAACCAACAGAATTTTTTCTATCCAGCTTCTGTACTACATTGTCTATAGATGTCCACTTCTCAGAGAGGTTTCCGTTTCAAAGCTTTTGGGCTCATTTAAAAAACAACAACAAAGAAACGGAGACCACTTTTTATATTTTTATGTATTTACAGTACCCAGTATTTTACTTGCTCTATCAGTGGATAAGAAATTTGGATAAGAACTTTCATAGAAATGTCTTCCACTTCTCTCCAAAAAGGTTAACCTCCCTTACACTACTGGATGACATGTGCACTTTCTAAAAAAAGCAGAAAGCAACCAACTGCCCAGAAGACACCTTTAAAACACTAAAGTACTACCAACTGAGCAACATAAGGATGAGAAAAGACAGGTAATTCAGAAGAGACTAGTTTTTTTCTGCAACTAGTTCCAATTAAAGTGTCCTTGATTGCTATTTATAATAGTTATGCAAAACAATTAATTAAATATACATAGGGTTAGCCTTTTTTAGGCAGTGTGAAACCCTGTTATTCCAAAACATTTTTGGTTGTATGTCCCTCCACTCTAGCTAATCTGGCAGTTTAACTTCTATTGGTGGGGGAAGGCTGGGGGGTCATGTGGGCAGCAAAAAGCAATCACAATGTGTACTGGGTTTGTATGGCCAGGCTTTGGTACAGGGAGTCTACAGGGGTGGCTTCTCAGAGAAGCTGCTGGAATCTTCCTCCACATCCAGCAGAGCCAATGCCAGCCAGCTCCCACACAGAGCCACCACTGGCCAAGACCAAGCTAATAAGAAATGGTGGTAACAATTCTATGATAACACATTTAAGAAGGAATAAAAGTTAGTGGGCAAATGTAACTGCACTCAGAGAAGGGAGGAGCGAAAATACATGAGAGAATAACTCTGCAGGCACCAAGGTGAGGGAAGAATGCAGAGGAAGAACTGAGGTTCCTCTGAGCCTGCTGTGAAGACCATGGCGAGGCAGCAGTGCCTCTGGTGCCCATAGAGGAGGTTAATGGGAGTGCAGAGATCCACTTGCACCTGTGGAGAACACCGAGGCCAGATGCACCCAAAGCAGGCTGTGATCCACTGCAAGTCCTCGCTGGAGCAGTCTCCTGGCAGCGACCTCTGGACCAATGGAGAGAGCAGCCCACACTGGAGCAGGTTTCCTAGGACTAGCAACCCTGTGGGGGATCCACCCTGGAGCAGCCTGCTCTTGAGGGACTTCACAATGTGGAACAGTCACCCACACAGCAGCAATTCATGAAAAGCTGCAGCATGCGGAAAGGACTCATACTGGATAAGGTCATGGAGAACTGTCTCCCAAGGGAGGGACCCACAGTGGAGCAGCAGAACACCTCCTCTCACTGAGCAGAGGCAGGAACAACTTGTAATGAATTGACTGTAATCCCCTTCCCTCATTTCTGGGGAGGAGAAGGAAGAGCCTGGGAAGGAGGGAGGGTGGGGGGAAGGCAGTTTTAAGGCCTTATTTTACTTCTCATTGTTCTGTTCTGAGTTTGTTAACAATAAATTCAACTAATAACCCCAAGTTCACTCTGTTTTGTCCCTAGTAGTAATAGGTGAGTGATCCCTCCCTGTCCTTATCTCAATCACAAACCTTTCACTACAAACCTACTACTTTCGATTTGTCTCCCCTGTGCAGTGGCAGAGTTTACAGAGCAGCAAAAAGTTTCAACACCAAGTGAGGATGAAGGTAATACGCTGAATGAAGACAGTAAAGTGTGACAAAACCAACCAACAACCCAACGAAACGCAAAAGAGAAAAAACATGTGTTTGTTGTGGTTTGTAAGCTTACCTCTCCATCACAAGCTCCAGACAGCACAGTAGACAAACTTTTTGGATGTTTGGCCATGCAATTAACTCCATCTCTGTGGCCATCAAGTGAACTAAGAAAGGGTTTTGCAAACACACGTTCTAGCTTTGTGGCATTCAGAGCTCTTACGTATTCTCGTGCAACCTCAAATGGATGCAATACTGGGTCATAGTTCCTTGGAACTGCAACAGAAAGAACACACATTAGAAACCCACGCAGGAGCAGGTCCACAAGACAGATGAACAGAGGGATGTACTACCTCTCCCACGAGAAAAGGCTGTGAGAGCTGGGGCGGTTCAGCCTGAAGAAGAGATGGCTCCAGGAAGACCTCAGTTGGCCTTTCAGTACTTAAAGGGGGCTATGAGAAAGATGGGGACAGACTTTAAGACAGTCTGATATGACCACGAGTAATAGTTTTACACTTGAAGAGGGTAAATTTAGACTAGGTAGTAATAAGAAGTTTTTTACAATGAGATGACACATGCCCCATCAAGGCTCTGAGCAGCCTGAGCTAGCTGAAGATATCCCTGTTCACCACAGGGCAGGGTGTGGGGAGTTGCACTAGATAACCTTTAGAGCTACCTTCCAACCTACAAAACTATTATTCTGTGTGTAAAATCAACACAATTTTTGGCAGTTTCAATAATGAATATGCAAGAAGCAGAACTCGACGAACCAGGAATGAAACAGCATTAAGTAAACTGCAAAGCGTAACCTAGGAAATACTAAGCTCAGTGTCGGGGTACCAGAACAGTGATTAAAGGCCCAGCCTCGCACTTCTGCTCTTTGGCTCCGGAAGCTCCGGGCTCGGCCAGCCCGAGGCGCAGCTTCCGGCCCAGCCCGGCCCCGGGCCGCGGCAAGGGAGCTCTCCGCACGCAAATCCCGCCTGGGACCGGCATCGCGGGGAAAACTCCGGCCGCTCGGAACCAGGGAAGCCCAAAGGCCCCTGCCCGAGCTCTCCGACTCTCGCTGCTGGCGGACACCGGCGCAGCGGCTGAGGGGAGGGGACCGGAGCGGAGCGGAGCGCGGACGACGGACGCCCGAACGCCTTCCGGCCTTGCTGCCGGCCTCATCCCTTCCGGCCGGGCCGTGCCGGGCCGGGCCGTGCCGGGGGCCGATCCCCGCTGCCGGAGCCCCGCTCACCGCGCTGCAGGTCCAGCTTGGTCTCCCGCACGTAGTCATCGGGGTTGCGGCTCAGCACCTTCACCCGCATCGCGCCGCCCGCGCGCCGCCCGCACACGTCACCGGATGCGCCGCGCGGGCCGCTCTCGCGCGAGGGCGCGAGCCCCGCCGCGGCCCCGCCCCTGCGCGCGCGCGGCCGGCGATGGGCTCCGCGGGTGTCGCGTGCGCGGCGCGCGAGCCGCTGGAGCCGCTGGCGCGCGAGCCGGGCGCGCGCTCCGTGCTGCGGCACGTGCGGCTGGAGAACCTGGCGGCGGGCGTCGGCGGCGGCGTCCTGTCCACCCTGGCGCTGCACCCGCTGGACCTCGTCAAGATCCGCTTCGCAGGTCAGGCCCCCCTCGCCCTGCTGCGCACCGACGTGCCCGAGCTCGCCAGCCCGCGCCGGGACCTGCCGGGCTCCCGGCCCGAAGCCCGCGCTCTTCTTCCTGCCCGCCCCGGTGCCGGCGGGCAGCGCCCCGGTGCCGGCGGGCAGCCCCACGGCTTGGAATAAACTGGCCGGCAGCGGAAGGGGGCCTCGGGACAGCAGGTGTCCCGAAAGGGAATTCGGGACACCTGCTGTCCCGAGGCTTTTCCTTGTCGCTTGTGGGACTGTAAAGTGCGCGGTGTGCCTCGAGCTGTTTGCGGCGGGTCGGAGAGCCTCCAGCCCCTTCCCCCCTTCCGTGACCACCAGTGCCGGACGAACCGGAGCACTGTCCCAAGCCCACGTTCAAAGTTCACCTTTATGCCAAAGATTTTCAGCGCTCAGAGCGTAGCGGTGGTTTTGGAATAACCTTGGTTGTTTACAATAGTGGTATTGTTTTGCAGGAAACTCTGTAACTAGTTTGTTTTTCCACAGGGAAACATGGTGACTTCTCTAGACTTTTCTGCTAACTTGAGAAACTTGTCCACCATTTATCATATTCTCTTTCAGAGACGTTGAAACATTTTACTGTATCTTTGGATTGTTTTCTTAAATAGATACGTGGATATTTTAAAATCTCAAAACCAAACTATCACAAAGAAATTTTACAAAATTCGAAACGTTGCATGTCCTAGTTGGACACATCCTGGGCTGCATTATGAAAAGCACAGCCAGCAGAAGGGCTCTTTTCTCTCTGTTTTTCATTTGTAAGACTATGTCAGAAGTACTGTGTTTACTTTGAGGCTCTCCAGGACAAGGAAGGAAGACAATGACACACTGGTGAGACTCCAGTAGAAGCCACTAGACTGGCGAAGGGGTTGGAGCACATGGCATAGAACAGGCTGATAGAACAGGATCAGTTTGGCCTCAGAAAGGAAGGGCTGAGGGGAGTTAAAATTGCAGTCTATGACAATGTTATTGGAAGACACAGAAAAGGTAAAGCCAGATTCTTGGCTAGTAGGCCCAAAAAGGAACAGGCACAAGTGTGAACTTGGACGATTCCAGTTATTTTACTGTGAGAATGGTCAAATACTGGAAAAGGTTACACAGACAGACTGTAATCTCTTCAGCCATGGAAACATTCAGGAGTCAACTGGTCGTGTCCCTAAGTAACCAGATCTAATTAGATCTGATTTGAGTACAGGTTTGGATTAGGTGGCTTTTGGAGGTCATGTACTTTCACATGATTCTTTGGGTTGGAAATAACAATTCCTATATTTTGTCTTCAACCAGGGAGCAGGAGCTGATATCAGAAATTAATGTTGCGAAGATTCTTGGCAGCGTCATTGACAGAAAGACTTGCATTTGCGTCTCTGATTTCTGATGTTGTTTAATATGTTTATAAACTTGATCTAGTGTATGCATGGTAGAAAATTTCATAAATGTCTTTGGGAAAGGTCTAGCAACACTTATTCAGAAAGGAGAAAAGAGGTCTTTGTGTTCTAGTTTTGAGTGGTTGTCAAGGTGCTTAGAGCTGTTGTCACACTGTGCTCAGCAAAAGCATTTTGTCTTTAATGCTGAAGTATGTCACAATGTCTATTGAACACAGAGTTCAAGGGGAATTAATAATAAATGTGGCACTGAACAGAAAATGCCTGTTTACCAGGATTAATTTTGATGGGGACACAAAACTACACTTCTTGTAAAACTTTGAAATCAGTTTTCAGTACAGTTGCAGTCTAGCCACATACCTGTATTAAGAATGAAAGCTGTTGCTATGTTTGCATTGTAGAGTAATTGAGGTGAGAAGAGAGCTAAGGAGTTCACCCCCTACTCAGATAAGCTCTGCTTAGATCAGTTTGTTCAGTCTTGTGTACTGGAGTTTTGAGTAGCTCCAAAGATGCTCTTCAGGCTACTTGTTCAAGTATTTGGCCATTCTGCTGGATAAAAAGTTCTGGTCAAAATTCCCTGTATTTCAGCTTGTGTCTGTTACCTCTCGTCATCTCACCATGGACTGTAACACATATCTCATCAGTAATCAACTTACTCCTTTGTTGTTATGGTAGGAGCAATAGTAGTTACTATAGTAATACTAACAGTATTACTACAAGTTTTGTAGACATCCACGTTCTACATGATCTGTCAGACAAAAAACTTGTGTGTTTCCTGTATTTTTGAAGTGATAATTTCTTGACATTTGGACCACCAGCTGTTAGATTATTAGGTGGAAGAAGAAGCCCTTGAGTATCTTGATAAAAACTGACTTGGCAATCAGTAAGACGTGACCCATTGTTTAATAGAACATTTTAAAGAGAAAATTTTAATTTAAGGGTTGTTACTTAGGAGTTGTCTAAACAGCTTAGAGAAACGTGTCAAGGATGCCATCCATTATCACTTGAAATATGATGCACAGTTGCTGCAGTGCTAAAAAGAAGCGACAGAAAACTTCAGATCTGCTGCTCATCAAAAATGTATGAAAGTGCATTTATTTAGCCTTGTCAGATTAATAGGAACACTCCTCTTACTGAGCTAAGTAGTTGTCTCTTTTTCCCCCCATTTTTTCCCTAAGTTCTTGAACTCTAGGCTTATAAAGCTGTAAATCCCAACTCTTGCCGTACTTGTGAAATAAAACTTGTGTAATACAGCTGATCAGTTAGTTTATATGTTTATTTATGCTTGCTTTAGAGGCTGTGGACTTCTATGTTGGCTTGGATGCAGTTGAACCTAATGCTTCCTGAAATGTTTTCCAGTATCATTTCTTTCTTTTGTAGTAAGCGATGGATTGGAGCTGAGGCCAAAGTACAATGGAATTCTTCACTGTATGACCACAGTCTGGAGGCATGAAGGACTTCGAGGCTTGTACCAAGGGGTAACTCCAAACATGGTGGGAGCAGGGGCCTCCTGGGGACTTTACTTTTTTTTGTAAGTAGAACTGTAAAATGTGTCACACCCTGCACATTGTAGTGTTCAGATATACATTGCATCTTCTTTGTGGGGTATAAAAATGTGCTAAGGGACGTAGAAACTTGCCATTCTCTTAGCTATTCCAGGTTTGTTAATGTTTATTATGGTTTGTTGTTTTCAAATTTAAGCAATTTGAGTCAGAGACCTGTTCCTTTGTCAGGTACAGAGCATTCCCTTGATGCTGTGAAAATACTAAGGAATTTGAGAGGTGGTGATACTATTCATAAAGAATTCTCTTAAAGTGTTCTTAAGATGTCATGAAAAGTGAGAATCTAAATTGATTTCTTAAAAATTAAAGAGTATGAAGTTTTCTACTAAAACTAAATGTTTGATTGTTTTTAATTATTTTAGTGACAGTTTTTTCATTGTTTTTGTCAGTTGATAGGCTTTTAAAACCCATTTTTTAATATTCTACTTTATTAGCTCCATTACTGCTTATCCCTATTAATTGAAACATTTTAGGGACTAGTTAACTGGCATGCCTATGCAAAGCTCACTTTTGTCTAGACTTTTGTTATTGTTGTACTTCAGTCCTTAAGCTTTGCTGTAGATTGCTATTGACACTTCATCTTCTGTTGACAATTTCTAAATTCATAAAGATTGCAAACTATATCAAGAGAAGAATGCTCAATGTATTTCAGAGCAAGAGGGTAGATACCTAGCACTCTGGCTCCCAATAAACCTATTTTAGAAGTTAATTCTTGATATCTGATCGTTTTCAAGATGCAGTCCCATTGATACTGACAGTTTAATTTTACAATTTAAATATATGTTACCACAGTCCACTTGAAAGAGCTGACTGCTTAGATATCAATTAATCAATTAAATAAAGGTAGTTTGGATACCTTTTCTTCAAAGGCTGTGTACCAGCATGATCTTAGGTATGTGATTCTGGATTGTGTTATTTGTGATGTAGGTCTGTTTTCACCTTTACTGAACTATGTTGTACATTTTCCAGTTACAATGCCATCAAAGCTTACAAGAAGGAAGGGAAGATGGAAAGTCTCAGTGCAAGGGAACACCTAGTGTCAGCTGCAGAGGCAGGTGAGGTTAAATGCAAAAATTAATGTTCACCTGTAGCTTTCCCATATGCTGCTACCTGCCTTTCTGTGTCAGTGCAGCTTTTTCTTACGTGTGGCAAGTGTTAGTGTTCCAGCCCAGATGCAATAGTTTGTGGTCTGGAAATAAAACAAAGATGTCTAGCACAAATAGGTGGGTCACTGTGGTCCTTCAGTTTTGTGCAGAATTAGAATGTCTTTTGTCCTTGTTTTCATTCTGTGTAAGCACTTTCTATATTTAGTACTGTATTGGGTCCCAAATTGTAACTGTAGAAATCTGTTTCTATCAGATCGTTAACTTGTTAAATTTTAACACTTGGACCTTGAAAGGAGGTGGCCTTTTAAATCATGGAATGGTTTGGGTTGGAAGGGACCTTAAAAATAATCTAGTTTCATCCCCCTGTCTTTGGCTGGGGCACCTCTCGCTAGACCAGGTTGCTCAAAGCCCCATCCATCTTGGTTGTGAACACTTCCAGAGGTGAGGCATCCACAGATTCTCTGGGAAACCTGTTCCAGTGCCTCACTGCCATCACAGTAAAGATTTTCTGTCTCATACTTAATCTAAACCTACTCTCTTCCAGTTTGAATCATTCCTCCTTGTCCTGTCACTACATGCTGTACAGGCAATTTGGAAGACTTTTTATTAGGATTTTGAAGCATTCATTTAATGTTGAAATATAGGGCATATTGTTTGACATGAAATATAGTAATGGATTCTGCTACAATGCTATTTTCAATAACCTATAAAGCTATAACAACATGTTATCAATTAATTATTATTTATTATTATTTGCTTAATTATTAAGCAAATTTCACAACACTGAGTTGTTCATTAAAATTTGAATTATTGTATACTGAAGAATAACTCAGTATAATAAGGATAATCAGTGGTACATTAAGAAATTCCATTTTCTGTCTACTTCAGATAAAAATACATGTGCCCTGCAAAAGTACCCCAGCAGAAGTGAATTGGACTTGACTGTGAGCTTTGAAGGGAGAGAGAGGGAGCAATGGAGGGCATAAACTTCACCTGTTTTAAACAATATGAGTGCTCTGGTAGGAAAAGTAGTTTTGCCATTGTAGAAGCCTGTGTTATATTGGACTGAACAAGCTGGGACAATCTGTGGAGTTGGCATAACAATGAGAGTAATTTCTGTCTGTTCTCAGGAGCCATGACTCTCTGCATTACAAACCCAATCTGGGTAACCAAGACTCGACTTGTGCTACAATATAACGCTGGCGTGGATCCATCCAAGCGGCAATACAGAGGAATGTTTGATGCTCTTATAAAGATATACAAGACAGAAGGCATACGTGGCTTATATAAGGTAGTCACATTTCAGAAAAATTCCATGGTTGCCTGGCACCACCCAGTAGCATGGTGACACTTCTAAATATTTGTCTACAAAAAAAAAAATTAATTGTAATAACTCATTCTGTGAGTCTTTCCCACTGAAGAACTTTAGCAAAAAGGCTTAGTCAGAGGAATTATTACCATTAATTATCACCATTATACTGGTGATAAACTGCTTTGTAATTGTTTTTAAATTTTCTTAGAATTTGGATAAGCAGGACAGCAACAATGTAACCTGTGTTGCTGGTAGTACTTCCTTGCATTTTATCCCTTATCTCTGTATTTCTAAACTCTTCTGGAAGATAAAATGACTCAAGTACTTGCTAATTTTTTCTTCCACAATGAATAACTTCACAACTGCTTATTTGCCCTCTGGTTATTGATGTCTGTAATCTGTCAGCTCTAGATACATTAAATTTGCAGACTTCTAAATATGGTCTGCATATGTGTGGGTTTTTTGTTCCCCTTAATTTAGGGAAACAGATGGCAACAAGATTTGGACTTTTTGCCTCCCCCTTCCTTCAGGTCATGACATCAAGATGCATTCTTCAGTGCCTGGAAGTTGTGAAGAAACCTATTTTAGTTCAGTCTGGCTCTTCTCCTGCAAGTAATGCTGCAGAATCATAGAATCATAGAATGGCTTGGGTTGGAAGGGATCTTAAAGATATTCTTGTTCCAACACCCCTGCAATGGGCAGGTGTACCTTCCACTAGCCCAGGCTGCTCAGAGCCCATCCAGCCTGACCTTGAACACTGCAAGGGATAGGGAACAAGACCATTTTCTCTTAGAAATTATCCTGATTACTGAACGCTAGCTTATTTTATTTTCAGTGAAAAATGTGATCCTTCCTATTCTGTGGGACTTGTGTGCTTCATAGCAATGAATGCCAAATTCTAACATCAGGAATAAGGCACCTTACTTATTCCTAAATTGAAATTGTCAGGATTTATGGTTTGCCTGCCTGGATGTCTGCTCTGTTCCATGTAGATAAGTTCTGATTTCTTGGATCTGTTAGCTTTTAAGATGTCCTTCCTCCCTTCTTTTCAGATTATTCGTGCATGTAGCGTGTGTCGCCTTTGGCACTAGACACTTCTTTGTAGTGTTAATCTGCAAGTATGGGACTAAAGCAGCTACTTCCTTTGAAAAAGCAAATTACTTGCTTAAATCTGCAAAGAAGGTGACCTAAATAAGTCCTGAGTGACCTACATAAGTATGCACACTGAGCAACTTCCATTTGACGTCAGGACTCTCTCTACCTTGTCTATACTGGGGAAAAAGGCACCTCTTCAGGTGGTTCTTTGACTTGTACATGCTTTAACCTTCTTCCATTTCAGTGTTTAGGGGAGCTTTTATTTTTCTTGCTCTATTTGAAATTGAACAGCTAAAGCTTTGTTAATTGCCCTGAGTCAGGAGTTGTAGTACACACAATTGTCTTTGTTTTCTTTTTCCTCATAATCTTCATTTCAGATAGCATTCCTTATAGCAGACAAGGGGATCTCAGATAGTACCACCTTATAGTAAATGAAGGGATCTCAAATAGAGCAACTGTCTCAGATAGAATTGGAAATAAAATCTGGAAGGAGTTTCTTTCTGTTTGAGATTTGTCTCCTAAAGAATGGTATTTCTGACCAAGCAATTCAATATTGTTCTTTATCACATAGATGCTGTTACTGATTTGAGCAAATCCTTTCAGTCCTTTGAGGCACAAACTATAATGTCAGGCTACATCAATCTTTCTAGCAGAGATGAAAGCTGTCTTTATTAGCTCTGCTGGGTATTGGTTGTTCATCAAATATAGTCTGCCTGAGTCTGGGTTTCTCAGTAAGTTGTTCCTTTTGAACTTGGCCTGATTCTGAAAAGGCAGGAGGAGTCTCCTTCACTCATTATCCCAGCAATCATCAGTCAGTGATCTTCCACACCCTCCTCCGTTGGGCTTTGTCTTTTTGGCCTCCATCCCCCTGATGACTGGTGACAGAGCTGCTCTGCTGCACACCTGGCTGAATTAAAAAACAGCTTGAGGTTATGTACTTTGAGTACACTCATGGATCTGCTGGAGATCTGAGCTCTAAAAATTACTTTGCCATTAATGAATGTCATGCAACCATCTTCATGTTATGAGTGCTATGTTGTTCTTTTCAAGCATAAGGTAGGAGTGCACAAACATGGTTAAACAGTTGTAAGATTGTAGGATTGGTCCTTTAAGGAAAACATAAAATATCTCTGAGCTGTTGAGAAACTGTTAGTTGTATAGTCTAGAGAGAATGACTACTAAGACATCAGTCAAGAATACAACTAACATCCTTCATGACCTCTGTATTTCTGTATGTGCGTTTTTTATTCTCTTTTATAGATGATCTAGAAGCAGCAGTTCAAAATAGAGCAATGGTTAATAAACGAGTAAAATACACAGAAAATTTATAAGATTTAAGGAGATTAACTTAAAATCCAGGTTCATAAAGACTGAGAATAGTAATGTGGCATGCTGACAAAACAGAAGTCATAACAGTAATGTGTGCTCATTACCAAGTGAAATATATTTGGACGCTTCTGTGTTGGCATTTCACTTTTGGTAGGCAAAATTCTATGCTCTGAGGATAAAGTACTTTTCCTGGTCCTGCAGTGGCTAAGGCATTTAACTCTCTTTATTTTGCAATGCTTTTGCTTATGTTATTTTTCTTCTTGTAAATCTGAAGTTTGTAAACTTTCTATATCTTTGTACTTGTACATAGCAAAATCTATTGAGATTTGGCCATCGATTTTAACTTAAATTGCAGGTTCTACACAGAGACATAAGCATAAGTGGCTTTCACATAAAAGGTGGTAACATTTTTCACCATGAGGGAATCAAGATGATAATGATGACTTCAGTGTCTTGTCTGCACAAGTTATCAGAGCAGGGCACTCAGATGCTGCAGGTCTTTGACACACTGAGAGCCCAAATGAAGGCAGCACTGGAGAGATTACAAGAAGTATATGCTTCATTCTTTAGAAGCATACAGCAGAGGCTGTTCTGGCTTGAGTGCTGTCAGACACTTCTGGCAGTGATGTGAGTACCACATCACCAAATGATCCTTGTTCCCTTCTTTACTAAGAAGCACAGGTTTTCCAGTGTGTGTGTTTGCCTGTGTTTCTTTTTATTGGGCTGGGTTACCTTTGAAAACTAACCAACAGGACATTTTCTTCTTGTCTGGATTTCCAGCACTTGAAACGCTTTAAGCCAATTTCAAAATATTTCTTTATTCCCACTGTCTGCTGCTCAGAATTATATGCTATTTAAATTCCTAACTATAGAATAGATAAATATAGAACTATGTTTAATTCAGTCAATTGTTCTAATCCTTTAAGGGAGAATTCAAGCAGGACTTCTTTAAGGAACCAGTCATCTTGTCATGCTTTCATGGCAAAAATCTTCTAAAGATACATTTCAAATATTAAAGTAAAAAATAACAAGAAATACATAAAGTTATAGAATTTTTCTTTACAGTCATATTGTGGATAAAAATAAATATTAAATTCTATCAAATTTTGTGGCAAGAAAGAATTTTGAGTTAAGTTATTCAAAGAATAAGAAAATAGAATACGTTTCAAAAACTTCTCCGGCCAAAGTTTCAGTGCTGTGAATAAATCAGTTTTGCTTTGAAACAATTTTCCATAAGAATACATTGTTTTCTATGATCAGTAAAAGCCTGGGTCAACTCCTATTTTACTGGGGCACATTGGCTGACAGTTGCCTCACTCCCATCTTGCATTTTTTAATATTGGCCCAACATTAAAAGTGCCTCAGTCTTTGGAAGCTTTTCTCATCAGCCCAAGACTTAAAGTGTGCTGGTATTTGTTTATGTAGTACAACCAGTAGATGCTTTAGGACTCAAGGGTGCAAGTTATCCAAATCTTCTGGCTTAAGTTTAGGAGTTTAGCCCTCTTAAAGCTTGTTTAACTTTCTTCTTTTGTTGGCAGGAAAGTATTACCTAATTTTTCTATGATACAAATACATTGTTCTAATTCTTTCCAAGTGGAGAACAATAACTTCCACTGTCTTTTAGTTGTTTTACTGATTAATCACTGGGAAATCTTTGTGAAGATTTTCCCTGCTATCAATGTCCATATGTTTCGTATTGGGTTGGATTTTTTTTTTTGCTGATCCAGATAATTTTTTCTTTGACATTTTTTCATAACATTTTTCTGCTCCTGTTATTTTCTTCTATGATCCAGGATTTCTGAAAACCAAAGTTGTCCTTTTCCCTCTGTTGGGGCCCTTTGGCTTCAAACTTCACTTTGTGCTTACAGCTGACAAAATACAGATATGTAGTTTAATTCCACTTTTTCTCATTTGGGGAAGTGTTTTTTCTGGGACTTTCACTAACTCTTAATGCATTTCATCAGTTTGTGGTCACTGATGGTGAGTTCATGACCATTATTTCTTACTGTAAGAAGAAATTTATTCTCATGTATTAAAGGAATTCTAAAAAATCATTTCCTGAACGACTGAAAAACTTTAGAAGTCTATATGTAGCATTGGGAAAGCTGATCCCTGAAGTGGTATTTTGTGTGTTATCTGTGCAATTTTTATGCCTGCTGTAGTTTTAGTTGTTGGAGCTTCTTCTACGATTTAGGAGTTTTATTATTTGTATTGTTAACACTAATTCAGTGGACTCCTTCAGGATCCCATCTCTTCTTCACCTTCTCCAGGCTTTTAGTTGTATACTGATAAGTCTTCAACATTTTGGGCTTCTTATTTAGTTTAACACAGAGTTTGGCATCTGAGCACATTTTTAAATTCCTTTTTCTTGCCTGAATGGATCATAGGAAATAAAACTGTTTTTTTTTTAACTTTTATTCTTTGAGTGCTTTTAACCACATTTTGATCCCTTACTCTGTTACAATTGTCCCCCAACAATTTGCAGCAAGCTTTTGAGTCCCTTTCTGGGCAAGATGATTAGTCCCCCATTTATTTGTGTTTTTCAATATAAGTGACGAACTCTTCAAAAAGAGAATGAGTGCTTTTCTGAATCCCTTCAGCTGGTAGCTCACTTTAATGGAGCTAGTCCTGCTCGTGGGGGAACTCCTGCCTTCTCTTTCTTGTGGAGACTGTTCAGAAAGTACCTGTTTTCCCCCTTAATTTCAGATTTTTTGAAGCTAAAGCTTGATGTATATTTTCATGTGTTTGTGTGTGTTAGAACGACAGTGCTGGAGCAGCTCACTCTCTTCTCCCACAAGGACATGGTATGGTGGTGGGCATGGCAGTGTCAGGTTTATGGTTAGATTTGATAATCCTAAAGATCTTTTCCAACCAAAATGATTCTATGATTCTACATAGACACAAACATTTTTAGTATAGAAATGCATACATATATCTCAAAGACACACATTTATGTAGCCACACATATGCAAACACATATCTATTTCCTGGGCTGGATCACAATGATGTTTTGTACCTCTGCTCCTGATGGCTCTTCTCTGAGTTGCCAGTATCTGTCATTGCTTTACCAGTCTCAGGTGGGAACCAGACCCCTCAGTGCCAGTCTCTGGAAATGTGCATTGAGCAGCATGTTTGCAAGACCACAACTTGATTTGTGATCTTGCAATCCTAATCTGTGTTACCAGCTTGTGCTCTGTGAGGTGCAGTCCCTGGGCCCCTTGTTTTATCTCAGTGACTCAGTAGGTGACTTTAGGCTGTATGCCAGAAAAGTAGTATTTGTTAAGTGTTTGTGGAATGCCTGCCCTTAAGAATACCTGAGTCAGACTGCAGCTGCTGTGCAGGCACAGTCTGTACATTGAGGACAAATGTAGGTATGTGAGCTGTGCTCTGTCAAGTTGTTTAGGTTTTGTGCATTACACTTTATCCTTGTTTTATCCTTTTTTTAGGGATTTGTGCCTGGTCTGTTCGGAACATCTCATGGAGCACTTCAGTTCATGGCCTATGAGGATTTGAAAGAGAGATACAACAAGTACAGAAACAGAGTATCAGATACAAAATTGGTATGATGCTTGAGAATAAAATTATGTTGTGGCATGTAAATAAATAGAAGTTGATTCCATTTGTCAGGTTATACAGCAGCCAAATGTACGAAGTATTGGTACATTAATTGAAGTGCAGAATATATAGAAGGAAATAATACTTTCTCACTTTTTAGGAACAAGCAACTGGTTTTCACTGGTTTTGAAAACCAACTTCTTATTTCGAAGTGGTTTTAGAATTTTAGAGGAAGGAATGGGAGTTTTTTCTTACTTTGTGGAACCAGAGGGGGAGGTATTAAACCCTGGAAAGCTGTTTGCGTGCAAGTTGGACAAAGGTAGATACTTTTGGAAGAAGTGTTCCTCTTGGTGGGAATGAGAAGGCACAACACATGTTTTACAGTCAATTACTTGTAGCACTGCATGTAGTAAACACTGACATTTCTTTTAATGTGTTGTTTTATAAGGGGGGAAAATCTAGAGTATTGTTTGGTTGTACATTTAAAAATAAAGTAAGATTCTGGGAGATGGCTAATTTAAACCATACCTAAGGCAAACCTGACAATTTTTGTTGTTTTTAGAACACTGTGGAATACATACTGATGGCAGCTGTATCCAAAATATTTGCTGTGGTAGCAACGTATCCCTATCAAGTTGTGCGAGCTCGTCTTCAAGACCAGCATAACACATATTCTGGGGTGTTGGATGTGATCCGCAGGACATGGAGGTAGGTGTGCAAAATTAAAAGCCTACGTGTTGGAAACTGAGTTTTACAGAATCAGAGCTACCTTTACTGGATTCTGTGCTGGCTTGCAGAACCAGTACAGTTCAGAGCAAGCAAAGTGTTAGCTGTACAAAGTCATATTGTGCAAGATGCCAACAACAGCAGTAAGCTAAGCAGAGAGGAGGACACAGGAGAGAGTCGATGCCCCCTGCAGATTTCTGTTGTTTATTCTGTCTCCCTTCTCTCTTCTCCAGCAAAATTCACATCCTAAAAAATAACATTTTCATAGCTGGTTTGGGATACTAAATTAAATCTCACTTGAACTGGTTTAGCTTATCACATAGGACAGGAGCATTGTGCTGCTGGGAGTTGTGGCTAATCTAAATTCCTGGCAAGGTGAAGTGAGCTAGCCACAGCTGATTATACTGATGTCCCTGGGTTACCCTGGGGCCTGACTGCCCTTGTAGTCTGGTCCCAGCTTCCTGTAGGACCTTTAGAGACCTGTGACCTCACACTTATTCGTATCTGAGCTTTTCACTCAGACCTATGTAGTTACTAAGGATGGCCACCTTTGCATGTGCATCCATGGCTTTGGGCAGTGCTTCTGGGTTGGGCCATGTTGCTGGAGAGGTGGAAATGGCTCCTGGGCTGTGAAGAGGGGCCAGCTGAGTAAGTGACTGAGGCTCTGTTGTTCCAGGAGCACCCCTGGTTCAGAGGCTGTACAGCCATTTCGCCTGGGGGCAATTCAGAGCAAAAGTAGCTCTGATGTGTCAGTGCTGAGCCCTTCTGTCCTGCAGGCTACAGGAAGCTTATTAGTTCTGTAGTACAGCCATTCTGGAGCCACTGCTGTGCTTGTGATGAACAAATAGGACTTAGGGAGTGTAATGTAAACCACATCCAAGCATTTCTCAGGGTCTCTGTTTTCTCATCCTTCCAGGTGTCCTAGGCCTGTGAGGCCTGCACCCAAAGAGCTGAGATTTAATGTCTCTGAAACTTTTTAACAGCCCTAGCGTGACACACTGATTCAAATTAGGTCAAATAAGATTCTCATTTATTGGCCAGTAGAATCAAAATTCTGGAAGGGGTGCTTAAATTCTCAAAAGATGAATGCTGGCTTTTCTTAATTGTTTGGCCAGTTCTTGTAACATGAAGAAAGATAGTAAATTGCCTTACTTGGACAATACCCACAAAAAACACTCAAAGCCTAGGCTAAATAACTGATTTACATAATGCTATTATATGTTCAGAAGAAAAAATTATGGGTTAATACTTGATGCACTTTAAACACCGTCTGAAATTGTTATTTCTAACCTGAAGTTCATTTCTCAATGGGAGTGTGAGAAATAAAATGCCAGGCTTTGTTTTATGTCTGATTTTTATCTATTAAAAGACATTCATTAAAACCATTTTTTTTTTTGTCTTTTAAGGAAAGAAGGTGTTCATGGATTTTACAAAGGAATTATAGCTAATGTAATCAGAGTGACTCCTGCCTGCTGTATTACCTTTGTAGTTTATGAAAATGTGTCTGGCTTTTTACTTGGTTTTAGGAAAGAAAATAATTAAAGGTATGAACTTGTGTTCCTAGGAAGGAATCTATCCTTCAATTTTTATATTTATGATCTGGGAGAAATTTAGTTCAGCAGTCTTCTTTGACACTGTGAATTGATCTGGCATTTTGAGGAAAGAATTCAGAGACAAGAAACCCTGCCAGCATCTCTCCTGTTGAATGTTGAATTGCTGCCTTCCTCTCTGAATCAGCTGTGACTGGTTGAAGCAGATGTCTGCAACTGTGAAATGATAGTGCTGTGACTGGGTGAAGGCAGCTGCACAGCAATTCCATTTATCCTGGCCTGCCTGGTATAACCCAGTAAGCAGTTTCCACAAGTCTCAGGATAGCAGTTGGTGAGATTCTGCTCCTCCACAAGTGGAAAACTTCATCTGAAAGCAACCCTGGGGCCTGTCAAAGCTTTCTTAAATCTCTGAGTCTCATTAAAACAAGGAATGTCATCTGAATCCACCTCTGTTATTCATCACATTTTAAGATATGGAATGCTCCAGACTCCACTGTTTATCCTGCTGCCTCAGTGAGGTGCAGTTTGGAAGCTGAAATTTTTTTAAAACAGCTGTTAATTCTTGAGTTTGAATAATTGCAAGTCTGAAGCTCAGTTCTTGTCTCATACCAGGCCAGACTTGCACTGTGTTTTTTGACTTGGTTTTAGCAGCAGACTGGTGTGCTGAAAGTGCGTGCAATGCTGGATGCTTAATTCATTTTCTCTCTCTTTCATTCTCTCTCCATCTCTCACTGTGCCAGAATCTGTCTCCATTAGTGATACAGCTGACCAAATATTACTAAGTAAATGCATATTTGAAAGTGGGCTTACATTTTAAAGATGAGGATTTTTTTCTAGTAATCCCATAGTGATGCAGTGTTCAAGCCAGTGTACTAACAAATAGGACTACACTTACTTTCAATGATATTCTCTGGAAAAAAAAATGTTTCTAGTCTAAAAAAATCCTGTGCACAAGCCTTTCTGTAAAAAAACAGAACTATTTGTTAATGTCTTCTGATTTGGTTTAAGGAAAAGATTGTTAATATATTGATTGCTAATTTACTGATAAATTAAGTTGTAGTACATCTCAGTAAATTTGTATAATAATTATGGGTTTTTTCCCACGCCAATAATTGTTGTCAAGGATATGTACTATGAGAGTTCTGGGTTTGGTGGTTTGGGGCTTTTTATTTCTTTTAGAAAAGACATTAGTGACCTTAACATCTGCCTCCTGCTGTTGGTAAGAAGATATTAAGTATCTAGTAAGTATCATTTAACTAGAAATAGGTTTGCAAAGGCTATCCAATAGTTAGGGGGAAATCATCAGTGTCGTAGGCAGCAGAATAATCACTTAGATAAGTTTTCTGTTTACCAGACTAACCTAAAGCAGAAAGAACAATTCTTAATAAAATTTTAAGATTAGGGACTTGGTTTAAATTTTAAGTTAAAATCTGGAAAGCCATAGAAACTCAGTATTTTGAATCTTCATTCAGTGATCCACTTACTTGTTTTGTAGATACTGTTGCCACATACCACATTTTGTGTATCACTGAATTTATTAATAATCTACACTTTCTCTTCCATAATCCCATCCCTTCTACTGATAGAGCTGATAATCTCATCAGAAAGAATCATCTCATCTGGAGATTGTGGTAGCACATTTATCTCTCAGGATTTTTCAGAGAGGTGCACAGAGAGACAGAAAGAGAAAATAATTTCTATTTCTGCTCCTTGTTTTCCCCATGTGGAATGTGTTTGGAGAATTGTTTACCTGGAATGATTGCTTGATTGGATTCTGGTGGGGATTGTTTGAGCCTGATGGTCAGTCCAATCCACCTGTGTGTGGACTCTCGTGAGAAGGTCACGAGTTGTGTTAGTTAGAGATATACTTAGAGCAAGTAGATTTGTAGTTTTTAGTATCTTCCTTTAAATAGTATATAATGTATTTTAGCATAATTACAATAAATCATTCAGCCTTCTGAATTGAGTCAGACATCTTCATCTCTTCCCATCAGGTTTGCCTGCATTCACAACAGTGGATGGCCATCTCATGGCTGGCTTTGGTTTTTATTATGGCAGTTTCCGTGTGTATTTAGCCGAAGATAAATTTACTGGAAGTTTCCCATGTCAATTATGTAGATCCAGAACAGCAGCTCCTGCCTTTGGAGGGTGCTTACTGGGCTTTGTGTGTTTTTTGGTACACAGAATGAATGTAATGGAACACTGAATTAACTCTACCACCCAGGGTCCAAAATATGTTGTGAAGACATGAAAACATCATAAAAGAGAAAAAGCTGTGCAGGTACTACCCTGGATTAGTGTGCTCTGTGCCCAGAACAGCTTACTCGTGCTTCAGGATAACTGCAAGGATAGGCTGTGAGCATGTGCACAATCACTCGCTGTATGTTAGCTGAGGTTCTGTAAGTTCACACCGCAGCTCAGCTCATAGTAACTTGTTTGTGTTCAGGTACCTTAAAACCATCATCCAAGCCAGTGAAAACATTGCAGTTCTTCAGAGACAAAATGCCAGCTGTGTAACTTGCTGGCTCACAGCAAATCTCACACACCATCTTGCAGTTGGGCAAGCCCAAGTGCCCCTGTCACTGCAGGTGTCCTCCCCTGGTATCTGCAGCAACAGCTACAGGCAAGAGCTACATCCGAGAGATGCCTGGGGGAAATCGTACAGCTTGTTCAGAGAAGAAAATGAGATTTAATTCTAAATAGCTGAAATAGGTTCAGTTATCTCAGATTTAATGGGTTTTTTTTCTTTTAATTTCTGGGAAGAGTGGAGATTTTTGCATGTTGTACATGCTTTTCGTGTTTTTTTTATTTTGTTAATGTGAAATTTGTTTTGTAATACAAACATGACTGTTGTTTCTCTTTAGAATGTGTACAATTAAAAAAAATATTTGAGTGTGTCACTTGCAGCATTTGGAAGGCAATACTTCAAACACTGAAGCTTATAGTCTGTTGGCATGATCAGTGTTGTCACTTTCAGACAGCTGTGACATCATTGTTTTACTTTACCAGTTCACTTTTGGAAAGCCTAGGCATTTCAACCTGTCTTATTTCTGTATCTTCTAAACTGTTTAATACATCTAGTTTTTAACCAACACCAAAGTGATTCTGTATATCTGAAAGGCTAAATCCAGGAGAATTATTTTATTGGAGCAATGAAATTAAGTGTTATAACTAAAATTATTTAGTGTCTGCATCTTAGTAGTGGAGACCAGTCATAGGTATCACTGAAATCCAGTCTGTTGAGAAGCAAGAGAAGAGGAGCTTAGATAGTCTGGTTTTGCTCAGTTATTCATAATGAGGTATTTGACACTTACCACATTGTCTAGGTCACAGTTAAGTCACCAGGAGTAACAGCAGAGCATCCTATTCTGCAGTCAGGTTTACAGGAGTGCATTTTATCAATGTTTTCTGAAGGCCAAAGCAAACACCTGATTTTACTTTCTTTGAACTTTATCTATAAAGCCTTCTAAAAAAATCATGTATAATAACACCATGTAAAATACCTTAAACAGATAAATGTTCAATAAAATAAACTGGAATTTTTTTTTTTTTTTTTGTAAAAGGTCTTATTTATTTGATACAAAAAGTTATGGTTACTTCTAAAAACAGTGGTGCTATTACATCAAAAAAGAAATTTAAAATGTTAGTGAACTTGGGTTTGATATTTGTATTCTAAAATGATTATTATAAAAAGCCTCTGCCATGTACAAAACAAGGTAAAGGCTACAGATGCAAGGCTTTGGTGCCTTTCAGTACAGTACTTGCATCCAATTCTCTTGAAATAAATTCTGAAACAAATAGTACAAACTTTTTTAAAAAAACAGGTATTATAAAAAGGGAGGGAAGTTATTTTGGCAGTTCTTCAATGATGATTCGGGAGACTGAATTCCATCCAGTAGAAGCATCTCCCCGTGGATAATCTGAGCACGTCCCAACCCAGATGGCAATGTCCACCAAGCCAGCATTGATCCCTTCACACAGACCTTCCACTGGTTAGAGACAAAAATCAGGTTATCTCAGCAGACACAATCCCTGTGTATTTCACAACTGAAGGTGGACTCAAGTACTTAAGAACAGCAGCTTGTTGCTATTTAGTTAAATGTGAACAGTTTTTTAGCATTTTAAAACAATTTCAGAAATAAAAACTCTGGTGTAGAGATGTGGCAACATCAGTTACAGCCATGCAGTGCCTCTGTCCGTGCTGCTGTTTGACACTCACTGCAGTACCTGAAGCAGATCACCATCCACAGGATGGCTCAGTGGGAGGTATACCTGCAGCTTTAAATACCCAGATTTACACACGGGGAGCTGGAATATGGCTCCATACCTTTTCAAGCATCTTTCTAGCAGTGGTGGGAGAGGGGGCCCAGCCATGCCTGGTTTACAGCTAAGGTTTACAGGGTGATGACCACCCTGTAAGCTTTTCCACATGAGAATCACTGCTTCTGCCTAAAGTTGCACTCCTGATGCCCCACTGGCACCACTAGTTGGAGGTGGGGTAATGAAGATGAGTCAGCTCTACCCCTATGCTGAAAAAAATCCTATAATAGCTTTAGATATTAGCTTTCATGTAGTCATGCATGACAGGGAGGAAAATGGAGAAAGGACACAGACTTTATATTCTTTTTCTTAGTGTCACATCCTTTTATGTTGAATGAATTCACTAATTCATCTCTGCTAAGCAAATGAATAATTGCTCCCAGATATTTCTCTTTAGAGATACTTTTTAGCCCCACCTGAAATCAGAGTAGAAATTTCAGGAGAAAAGTCTCATTTTTGCACAGATAGTGTGCAAATAGCAGTATTTTAAGCCAGGATGACACTGTTTCCTTGGCAGTAAGGCTGTTTCTCCATAGGCTAATACAGCACAGAATGTCTCTGTAATCATGTTGTGGCAGAGATCAGTAGACCTGTCTGGACAGAAATCTCTTCCATTTCTAAATCTCAGGATATAAGTACCACGAAAAATACCACAGCAAGAAAGTACCACTTAATAAATAATTATTATACTGTTACTTATCAATAGTCAACTCTGAGAGAGCAGAGTAAGAGAAGAAGTGTGAGTTGGCCACTCTGCATTTGGTAACCACAGCTGCCTTCTGCTCCATCTCTGCTCTCCCGGCATACGCACCTGAGGAAGTTCTGTGTATGTTAATAGTAGAATTCAGCTCTGGGCTTCCTTGATCTAAGTATATTATGGCTTCAATGGGCAGTGGGCCCGCACACTCTGCCCCGTTGAAGGTGAAGTACCAGCGCTGGCAGCAGGCGTTCCTGCACTTGAGGCGGAGGGAGCCGCTGAAGAGCACGCGGAGGGCACTGTTGGAGCGCATCTTGGTAAACGTGCATTCCTGACGGGAGACAAAGGTGCTGTGGCACAAATCTTGGCTTTGAGCCTATTTATTTTCTATATGTTTCTATTTAGGACACAGATTTAGGAATATATTTATTTCAAAATGTTTTGGCTATTCTCTTTAGCCCCCTCTGGAGGGGAAAAAAAAGTGAAAAAATCAGAGCCTGTAAAATCCCTTGTGGTGCAAAGATGAAATCAGAACAGCACCTCATAGATGGTGAAGGAGAAATGGATTATGGAAATTCTTTATTTTGATAACACCTGCTGTTAAGTTGGTAGCCTAGTTACCTTCTGGGATTTATGTAAAGGGATATAAGCTCTCTGAAAGCTGCACTCAAGCTACAGGATCACACAATCATAAGGATTGGAAGGGACCTCTGAAGATCATCTAGTCCAACCCCGAAGTCCTTGCATGACAAGAGAGCACAGTTTCTGTCTCTGCTAATGGAAATCCTGGACTTACCAATTATCACAAGACTTCTGAGCAGTTTACACAAAATAAAAGCTACACAACTGAAAAATAAACTTTCAGGGTTTTAAGTGGTTGTTAACCTGTTTTCAAAATCATGGAAAAAAATAAAAAAGAAAATAAATTTAAAAAGCTATGGACAGTTCTGTAAGTACAAGGTAGGCAGTAAGAAAAGTCTGCTGAAAAAGTTGATTCTCCTGCTAGCCACAGCACAGCAGTTAAACTGCTATAATCACTCTGGGCTTTGCTTCGTAGCTGGGATTGAGCAGGGATTTTTTCTAAAAGTTTTACACCCAGGGCTGCAGTGGAGGACGGATTGTTTGTGTCAGTCTGGGTGACACTGGCAATTCTGCTCCTGAGCAAAGCTGATCCTTTGCAGTAGCATCCTGCAACATAGTTTAAGTGAATAAATAATCACTATGAAGCAAGAGTTATAACAATGGGTAAAATTAACAGATTAAAGATGTTCATCCCTTTTTAGGATTGAAATGGTGAAAACTTTGCCCTGTTTTGGGCAAGCTAGAGGTATTTTTTTGGTACTGTGACTTTCAGCCTTACAGTTACAGATCTGGTCTACTAAATGTACTCTTACACAGGCTACAAAATTCTTCCGAAACCCTATTCCAGGAATGAAACAGGCACATAGCTGAAACACAGCTGAGAGCAATCCAAAGTAGTGAAGCCTTTGAGAAGTTCACCCTTGCATGCAGAGAAAGGCCCCAGCAGGGAATCTGTGAGGCTGGTGCCGCTCCCAGAGGCAGACGGAGCCCGCTGTGGTTGCTGCAGCCCCGGCGTGCAGCGCTGGCTTACCGCGATCTTCCCAAGGTCGATGCCGTAATTCAGCGCGCTCCACGAACACTGCTTGAAGTTGGGTGTCCAGGACTCCTCGATGCTCTCCCGCATGCACTCGCCCTTCTCCCCTTTCAGCCCATCCCGTCCTGGGATTCCAGGTGTCCCAGGGATCCCGTTGGCTCCCGGGTTTCCATCCCGTCCAGGAACGCCACTGGGGCCTTGCAAGCACATGCCATTATACTGGAAGACAGAACAGATCTTGCTGCTTCCATCCCTTATCTCCGAGCCTAATCGAGTCAAGCACAAGTGAATAACAACAAAACACAAATCCCCTGCTGCGCCACAATGGGCTATTTCTGCATCTCCAAGAAAATTATTCCACAGAAGAAAAAAAAAAAAAAGGAAGAATAAATTTTCAAAGATAAGCAGAGCCAGCAGAATTTGCTGATGGCTTTTTTAACAAAAAGATGCATAAATCCTAGAATTAAAAATTTACCTAATCCAAGAATTAAAATCTGTTGGAAAACCTCACAAGAGTCAAAATATTTCAATACAGAAACAAAAAAAGAAGTCACATGTTAATAGTTACTTTCTCCTAACCTACCATTACTTGTATAATTGTCTATGCTAATATGTGTTCAGTATTATTTTTCCTTTTTTATTTATTTTTAAAGATTTTTCATTTCATAGAGAGCAAAGGTTAGTGCCACTTTTCTTCTGTCACTGCTCCTCTGGTGAGGAGGTGACAACCACACAGTGATAATCAAGCCCCACAGTTCAGACTCCAATATGGATACAAATGGATGGTGATATGGATGTGGGAAGCTGCACCCTGGAATAAAGCTGAACTCAGGAATCTTGTTTGTAACAGTGGGAAGGTACATGTGGGAGGAGGGCACACTAACATCCTTCCTAACATCACAGTATTAGGAAAGGTCAAATGTTGCTCTCCCAAGCTCCATGTTAACACACATTGCCTTTTCACCTTCTGAGACTTGGGGCTGCCCACCTTGGAGAGTAGGTTTGTGAAGCCCAGAACTCCCTCCCCCAGCAGCCTGAGTGCTGGGATGCAGGAGGAGCACTGGGCATGGGAATGCTGAGCAGGAACCTGCAGGGGCTGGCCATGGCTTTTATTTCATGTGCTCTGTCCCATCTGGTGACTGACTGCTTCCTCCAGTCTTCATCCCAAATCCTCACAGATAACTGTATTCTGCTCTTCCACTTTCTCACATTTCTTTGTCTTTATCTAGTTTAAATGACCTAATGCCCACAGGTTTCAAAAAGAAGCAGTGCTGCAGCTATTCCCCCTCATGCCAGCCATGCCCCTGTCTGCACTGCAGGAGCTGTAAACTACAGCCCCCACCCTCATTCCTTTGTCAGACTGGTGAATTTTCTGCACTGAGGCTGTGCCTTTTCACAGGCTCTGGTGCAAAAACCATCACAGGCTTAGCTGGAGCCACACAAAAAGTAAAATCAGTTACTCTATGGAGAGGTCTAGCATGAAGTCAGATGAGGGTTTGCTAGCTTTCCCTTACTACCTTTACCAAGAAAATCCTGCTGGCTAAAGGCAGTGGAAATATTGCAATATTTTCATGAAGAAAACCATATTCTAGAAAAGTTAGTTGAAGAGGAGACTGGTTGGCAAAGCACACACCAACCCAGGAGAACAATGAAAAGATATTTCTATTTCACTCAGCAACAGTTAATCTGGTTTTGCTGTTGCTTTCCCACTGGACTCTGGGTTTTACATGTGGTTACTCACCACAGAAATCCTGGATGTGGAACTAGGCAAGAGCTGGGTCAGGCCAGAGCTCAGGCCTATTGCCCCCCATCCCCAGAAACACCAAGAGGGGCTGACCTACCTTCACACAGGAGCTGCCACCCACAGCCAGACAGGGAGAGCACCTCAGCCATGGCACATCCCAAAAAATAAATGG